GAAATTTTGGGCTCCCAGCTCAGGCCCGGCTGGCCACTGAGTTGGGTCCAGTGGCCACCGAAATATTTTGGGAATTTTGGGAAAATTTGGGAATTTTTGCGTGAAATTAGGGTGGAATTTGGGGGAATTTCGGGGTTTTTTGGGGGTTTTAATGGGATTTTAATGGGATTTTTTGGGAATTTTGGGCTCCCAGGTCAGGCCCGGCTGGGTCTGGATGCCACCAAAATATTTTGGGAATTTTGGGAAATTTTGGGTGAAATTTGGGGGATTTTTTGGGGCGATTTTGGGGGATATTTGGGAGGTTTTGGGTGGAATTTGGGGGATTTTGGGGGTGATTTTCCCTGATTCTGGGGTGAAATTTTGGGGGGATTTTTGGGTGGAATTTGGGGGATTTTTGGGAATTTTTGGGTGCAATTTTGGGGAGATTTTGGGGATGATTTTCCCTAATTTTGGGTGCAATTTTGGGGAGAATTTTGGGATTTTTGGGTGGAATTTGGGGGATTTTTGGGTTGATTTTCCCTAATTTTGGGATTTTCCAGGGTCAGTTTTTCAGGGATTTTTGGGTTGATTTTCCCTAATTCTGGCATTTTTCAGGGTCAGTTTTTGGGGTTATTTTCCTGAATTTTGGTGTTTTTCAGGGTCAGTTTTTGGGGTTATTTTCCCAAATTTTGGCATTTTTCAGGGTTAGTTTTTGGGGTTATTTTCCTGAATTCTGGCATTTTCCAGGGTCAGTTTTTGGGGTTATTTTCCCGAATTTTGGCGTTTTTCATGGTCAGTTTTTGGGCGATTCCCGTGGAATTTTGGGGTGGAATTTTGGGGTGTGATTTCCGGGAATTCCCGTGTGAAATTTTGGGAATTTTTTGGGTTGATTTCCCCAAATTTTCCCTTTTTCCAGCCCCTCACCTCCCGGCGCTGCTCCGGGACCCCTTCGGCCGCGGCGTCGCCCGGAATTTTTCCCTGGAGCTTTTCCGGAGGGATCGGCCGGGCTGGGAGCGGCTGCAGAGGGGGGCGGGGCCAAAGGGGCGTGGCCTGAGCCTCTGACCACGCCCCCAACCCTTCTGTCCCGCCCCTCATTTGCATATTCATAATTAAACCATTTATTTTTGATTTATGGGGTTGTTTCTATGGAAACGAGTGTGGCTTGTTAAGAAATGGGCGTGGTTATGTGTCAAAGGGGCGTGGCCTAAATATCTGACCACGCCCCCGCCTCTTTTTGTCCCACCCCTCATTTGCATATTCATAATTAAACCATTTATTTTTGATTTATGGGGTTGTTTCTATGGAAACGAGTGTGGCTTGTTGATAAATGGGCGTGGTTATGTGTCAAAGGGGCGTGGCCTGAGCCTCTGACCACGCCCCCAACCCTTCTGTCCCACCTCTCATTTGCATATACACAATTAAACATTTTATTTTGGATTGTCGGGGTTGTTTTTATGGAAATGGGCGTGGTTATGTGTCAAATGGGCGTGGTCTGAGTCTCTGACCACGCCCACACCTTTTCTGTCCCACCCCTCATTTACATATTCATAATTAAACATTTTATTTTGCATTATCAGGGTTGTTTTTATGGAAATGGGCGTGGCTTGGTGGAAATGGGCGTGGTTAATTAACAAATAGGCGTGGCCTAAATCTCTGACCACACCTACAAACACTTCTGTCCCGCCCCTCATTTGCATATTCATAATTAAAAGTTTTATTCTTAATTGCGTGTGGTTGGCTGGGAGTGGGCGTGGTAAAAAAATCGGGAATTTGGGGGAGCAATATGTGAATTTTGAGGCGAAAAATTGGGAATTTCGGGGTAAAATTTGGGAATTTAGGGCTAAAAATTGGGAATTTTGAGGTAAAAAAGGGAATTTTCAACCCGAAAATTTGGAATTTTCGACCCAAAAATTGGGAATTTTTGCCCCAAAAATTGGGAATTTTCCCTTTTCCCGCCCGTTCCCGTCTCCTCGCAATTCGGAATTTAGGGGGGGGAATGGAATTTTTGGGGAAAAAGTGGGAAATTTGGGGGAAAACATGGGGAATTTCGTGCAAAAACCTGTAGTTTTTTGGGGAAAAAATGGTAATTTGGCACAAAAAATGGAATTTTGATGTAAAAATTGGGAATTTGGCAGAAAAAGTTGGGAATTTTGAGGTGAAAATGGGAATTTGGGGGGGAAATGGTATTTTGGGGGAAAAATCTGAATTTTGGGGGGAAAATGGGAATTCTGAGGTTAAAAATTGGAATTTTGGGGGCGAAAAGTGAATTTTTGGGGTAAATTGTGAATTTGGGGGGAAAATTGGGAATTTTGAGGTGAAAATGGGAATTTGGGGGGGAAATGGTATTTTGGGGGAAAAATCTGAATTTTGGGGGGAAAATGGGAATTCTGAGGTTAAAAATTGGAATTTTGGGGGCGAAAAGTGAATTTTTGGGGTAAATTGTGAATTTGGGGGGAAAATTGGGAATTTTGAGGTGAAAATGGGAATTTGGGGGGGAAATGGTATTTTGGGGGAAAAATCTGAATTTTGGGGGGAAAATGGGAATTCTGAGGTTAAAAATTGGAATTTTGGGGGCGAAAAGTGAATTTTTGGGGTAAATTGTGAATTTGGGGGGAAAATTGGGAATTTTGAGGTGAAAATGGGAATTTGGGGGGGAAATGGTATTTTGGGGGAAAAATCTGAATTTTGGGGGGAAAATGGGAATTCTGAGGTTAAAAATTGGAATTTTGGGGGCGAAAAGTGAATTTTTGGGGTAAATTGTGAATTTGGGGGGAAAATTGGGAATTTTGAGGTGAAAATGGGAATTTGGGGGGGAAATGGTATTTTGGGGGAAAAATCTGAATTTTGGGGGGAAAATGGGAATTCTGAGGTTAAAAATTGGAATTTTGGGGGCGAAAAGTGAATTTTTGGGGTAAATTGTGAATTTGGGGGGAAAATTGGGAATTTTGAGGTGAAAATGGGAATTTGGGGGGGAAATGGTATTTTGGGGGAAAAATCTGAATTTTGGGGGGAAAATGGGAATTCTGAGGTTAAAAATTGGAATTTTGGGGGCGAAAAGTGAATTTTTGGGGTAAATTGTGAATTTGGGGGGAAAATTGGGAATTTTGAGGTGAAAATGGGAATTTGGGGGGGAAATGGTATTTTGGGGGAAAAATCTGAATTTTGGGGGGAAAATGGGAATTCTGAGGTTAAAAATTGGAATTTTGGGGGCGAAAAGTGAATTTTTGGGGTAAATTGTGAATTTGGGGGGAAAATTGGGAATTTTGAGGTGAAAATGGGAATTTGGGGGGGAAATGGTATTTTGGGGGAAAAATCTGAATTTTGGGGGGAAAATGGGAATTCTGAGGTTAAAAATTGGAATTTTGGGGGCGAAAAGTGAATTTTTGGGGTAAATTGTGAATTTGGGGGGAAAATTGGGAATTTTGAGGTGAAAATGGGAATTTGGGGGGGAAATGGTATTTTGGGGGAAAAATCTGAATTTTGGGGGGAAAATGGGAATTCTGAGGTTAAAAATTGGAATTTTGGGGGCGAAAAGTGAATTTTTGGGGTAAATTGTGAATTTGGGGGGAAAATTGGGAATTTTGAGGTGAAAATGGGAATTTGGGGGGGAAATGGTATTTTGGGGGAAAAATCTGAATTTTGGGGGGAAAATGGGAATTCTGAGGTTAAAAATTGGAATTTTGGGGGCGAAAAGTGAATTTTTGGGGTAAATTGTGAATTTGGGGGGAAAATTGGGAATTTTGAGGTGAAAATGGGAATTTGGGGGGGAAATGGTATTTTGGGGGAAAAATCTGAATTTTGGGGGGAAAATGGGAATTCTGAGGTTAAAAATTGGAATTTTGGGGGCGAAAAGTGAATTTTTGGGGTAAATTGTGAATTTGGGGGGAAAATTGGGAATTTTGAGGTGAAAATGGGAATTTGGGGGGGAAATGGTATTTTGGGGGAAAAATCTGAATTTTGGGGGGAAAATGGGAATTCTGAGGTTAAAAATTGGAATTTTGGGGGCGAAAAGTGAATTTTTGGGGTAAATTGTGAATTTGGGGGGAAAATTGGGAATTTTGAGGTGAAAATGGGAATTTGGGGGGGAAATGGTATTTTGGGGGAAAAATCTGAATTTTGGGGGGAAAATGGGAATTCTGAGGTTAAAAATTGGAATTTTGGGGGCGAAAAGTGAATTTTTGGGGTAAATTGTGAATTTGGGGGGAAAATTGGGAATTTTGAGGTGAAAATGGGAATTTGGGGGGGAAATGGTATTTTGGGGGAAAAATCTGAATTTTGGGGGGAAAATGGGAATTCTGAGGTTAAAAATTGGAATTTTGGGGGCGAAAAGTGAATTTTTGGGGTAAATTGTGAATTTGGGGGGAAAATTGGGAATTTTGAGGTGAAAATGGGAATTTGGGGGGGAAATGGTATTTTGGGGGAAAAATCTGAATTTTGGGGGGAAAATGGGAATTCTGAGGTTAAAAATTGGAATTTTGGGGGCGAAAAGTGAATTTTTGGGGTAAATTGTGAATTTGGGGGGAAAATTGGGAATTTTGAGGTGAAAATGGGAATTTGGGGGGGAAATGGTATTTTGGGGGAAAAATCTGAATTTTGGGGGGAAAATGGGAATTCTGAGGTTAAAAATTGGAATTTTGGGGGCGAAAAGTGAATTTTTGGGGTAAATTGTGAATTTGGGGGGAAAATTGGGAATTTTGAGGTGAAAATGGGAATTTGGGGGGGAAATGGTATTTTGGGGGAAAAATCTGAATTTTGGGGGGAAAATGGGAATTCTGAGGTTAAAAATTGGAATTTTGGGGGCGAAAAGTGAATTTTTGGGGTAAATTGTGAATTTGGGGGGAAAATTGGGAATTTTGAGGTGAAAATGGGAATTTGGGGGGGAAATGGTATTTTGGGGGAAAAATCTGAATTTTGGGGGGAAAATGGGAATTCTGAGGTTAAAAATTGGAATTTTGGGGGCGAAAAGTGAATTTTTGGGGTAAATTGTGAATTTGGGGGGAAAATTGGGAATTTTGAGGTGAAAATGGGAATTTGGGGGGGAAATGGTATTTTGGGGGAAAAATCTGAATTTTGGGGGGAAAATGGGAATTCTGAGGTTAAAAATTGGAATTTTGGGGGCGAAAAGTGAATTTTTGGGGTAAATTGTGAATTTGGGGGGAAAATTGGGAATTTTGAGGTGAAAATGGGAATTTGGGGGGGAAATGGTATTTTGGGGGAAAAATCTGAATTTTGGGGGGAAAATGGGAATTCTGAGGTTAAAAATTGGAATTTTGGGGGCGAAAAGTGAATTTTTGGGGTAAATTGTGAATTTGGGGGGAAAATTGGGAATTTTGAGGTGAAAATGGGAATTTGGGGGGGAAATGGTATTTTGGGGGAAAAATCTGAATTTTGGGGGGAAAATGGGAATTCTGAGGTTAAAAATTGGAATTTTGGGGGCGAAAAGTGAATTTTTGGGGTAAATTGTGAATTTGGGGGGAAAATTGGGAATTTTGAGGTGAAAATGGGAATTTGGGGGGGAAATGGTATTTTGGGGGAAAAATCTGAATTTTGGGGGGAAAATGGGAATTCTGAGGTTAAAAATTGGAATTTTGGGGGCGAAAAGTGAATTTTTGGGGTAAATTGTGAATTTGGGGGGAAAATTGGGAATTTTGAGGTGAAAATGGGAATTTGGGGGGGAAATGGTATTTTGGGGGAAAAATCTGAATTTTGGGGGGAAAATGGGAATTCTGAGGTTAAAAATTGGAATTTTGGGGGCGAAAAGTGAATTTTTGGGGTAAATTGTGAATTTGGGGGGAAAATTGGGAATTTTGAGGTGAAAATGGGAATTTGGGGGGGAAATGGTATTTTGGGGGAAAAATCTGAATTTTGGGGGGAAAATGGGAATTCTGAGGTTAAAAATTGGAATTTTGGGGGCGAAAAGTGAATTTTTGGGGTAAATTGTGAATTTGGGGGGAAAATTGGGAATTTTGAGGTGAAAATGGGAATTTGGGGGGGAAATGGTATTTTGGGGGAAAAATCTGAATTTTGGGGGGAAAATGGGAATTCTGAGGTTAAAAATTGGAATTTTGGGGGCGAAAAGTGAATTTTTGGGGTAAATTGTGAATTTGGGGGGAAAATTGGGAATTTTGAGGTGAAAATGGGAATTTGGGGGGGAAATGGTATTTTGGGGGAAAAATCTGAATTTTGGGGGGAAAATGGGAATTCTGAGGTTAAAAATTGGAATTTTGGGGGCGAAAAGTGAATTTTTGGGGTAAATTGTGAATTTGGGGGGAAAATTGGGAATTTTGAGGTGAAAATGGGAATTTGGGGGGGAAATGGTATTTTGGGGGAAAAATCTGAATTTTGGGGGGAAAATGGGAATTCTGAGGTTAAAAATTGGAATTTTGGGGGCGAAAAGTGAATTTTTGGGGTAAATTGTGAATTTGGGGGGAAAATTGGGAATTTTGAGGTGAAAATGGGAATTTGGGGGGGAAATGGTATTTTGGGGGAAAAATCTGAATTTTGGGGGGAAAATGGGAATTCTGAGGTTAAAAATTGGAATTTTGGGGGCGAAAAGTGAATTTTTGGGGTAAATTGTGAATTTGGGGGGAAAATTGGGAATTTTGAGGTGAAAATGGGAATTTGGGGGGGAAATGGTATTTTGGGGGAAAAATCTGAATTTTGGGGGGAAAATGGGAATTCTGAGGTTAAAAATTGGAATTTTGGGGGCGAAAAGTGAATTTTT